AGACGTAAATAGAGGCAGTTGTCGAAGATGCTAATTTTCGCCGACTTCACTTCCAACTTCAACGACTAAAAAATTCACAAAAACTATATCCTCAACCAAAGCTTTTTTGATATTCTTATACTACGAGAAGTTTCCTATCAGATGATATATAACTTGCTTGCAAAACGTTTCACTTTTCGAACAAATTTTTCAATTGAAAAAAACGGCCATTACTTATTAGCCAACCTAATACGTCAAACGATTTTTGCAGAACAACCTGTGAGTTCAGACGAGGATTCTCGGGATCGGAAATATCGTATTGTCTGATATCACCATGAATCCAGTTCGAGGCGTAGAGGTAGTGGTCATCCATTGAGATGATAATGTCGACGACCATCGACGGCATTTCTGGTAACAACCAACCTTCAACCTAAACCAAATTATGTCTAACGGGAAACACGATAAAAATTTCAGCAAAAATGTAAGTATCGAAAAACGGAAGGTCAAAATAAGTAAAACAATAGATAACCTTGGAGACCTATTACATAAAATTCAATTTTCCAGAAAGGTTAGAGGGGTGTACTAACTTCACTCGAGAGTGTAAGTCTTCACTAAACAACTGACAGGTTGTTACAATCAGTAAAATAGTGCGGGCGGACGTTCAAATGTCTCTGGAAGTTATTACTATGAACAAACCTTCTTTGATGGTATTTTTGCAACACATTTTGCAGCGTACTTTCCGTCCTCCTGAAAAAATGCAGATAAACTTTAGAACGCAGGTAGGCGGCCTTATGATGGTGTCGGAAAGGCCTGTACAGTCCTACTTGTTACGGATGCTAGGGCGTGTCAGAGCGGTGGGTTTGACGCGGCACCAGTGCGTCCCACAAAGTGTTGCCGTCGCTTGCCCCACTCAAACAAGTGGTGGAGACGGCGCTGCTCCAAACTGTGACACGCCCCAGCATCCGCCGAACAAAACTGCATTTAAACTGCTTACTCGGAAAGTGTCACCTCATCATTGAAGGCTGGCAAGCTCCTCGTGATTATGGCACAAAGGGAACAGAACTTCATATAGTGGCCAACGTGTAAAATAATGCCATCCAACAATTACATCTCCCCTCCCCCCGCCTCCTCCCATCTCCATCTCTCGCTGGTCAAATGGAGATTATCTTCCCTGCAGTTCAAATAGGACCCTTTCAACCGTTTCTCACCCACGGCGGGTTCTGATGCACCAGCAGCCTGCAGTGAGCAAGAGTGCCGTGGCCTTTTATTTGATTTGAGTGGGAGCACCGCTGTAGATACCACTATATTCTCGAGACTGCGATGATCTGGCCGAACTATGGAGGGCTGTGATGGCAATTTGTACCTTTCCCGCTACCCTTGCGCCCTAGTTGGTTCATGCTAAGCTGTTAAAATGCAAGACTGTGGGACGGGAAAACCCCTTAGAAGGGAATTCTTGTCCCTAGGCCTCAAGGAAGGAAGCCAACGACGTGAAAGCACTCAAAGATATTTGGGCAGCTCACAACAAGGCGAACGTAGCTCAGCTCAATACTTACTTGTTACCTACTGAAGGTGTCCGAAGGGGGGGGGAGGGTGTACCATGTGCTGGCAGGTTGCATTGACTGCTGACTGGCAGGCACTCTTGCAATGTGAACGACAGTTGATAGAGCACAGGAGATTTAGAGTTAAGGCACACTACAAATTGAGAGTGACGCCTCTAATTACTGGAGTCAACATTCCAGATTCAAATTACGCGCTATTGAGCGGACCCGTCAAATAACTTCAAAGTTAATAACACGGCGATAGGGAGGGTGTGGCTATGTGCTTCGTTTGGTCAGGGCGTGGAAATCATGTCAAGGCATATTTTCATTCAGACATCCGCGACTTTGCCTTCTGGTGGACGTCTGCATGATTACAGTGTCCCAAAATGCCACTGGAGGCGCAGCCGCCGCCGCGTCAAAGTGAAGCACGCAGCCATGCCCACTCCAGCTTGGGGATATAGGGTGTATCCGGATGTTTTAACGGCGTTCATAGCTTGCGAGACTTCCGTGAGAGGATGATACTTGCGCTTTTTTCTAGCGTCGTTGACATCACACAATACCGGAAGATCCAAGACACTCACAGGATGAAGAAGGAACACTGATGATCCGAGGACGGTCCCAAAGAAAGCATATGGGCTAGTAGGTTCATGAAGGAACCTAGAAGTTTTCGCTATTTCATTTGAATCGCTGGCATCATTGCCACCTGCTCAAGCATAAGATTATAGGTTCAGGTTGTTAGGCGGTGTTACAGTACCCGGAAATTGCGCGCGGGGATCAATTTGCTAGCTGTCCTAGATGCCCACAGCGCGGCCTGGTTCGGTGGAGACCCATTAAATTGGGCGCGGGTAGTCGTGTAGCCGCGGGCCTCCTGCGATTGTGTGTCTTTCACGGACACGACATTTTTGGCACGCTATTACCCTTTACTGCCCCAGTCATCCGAAATCAGGCCAGTTCCTGACCGACTTTTTTCTCCGTGGGCAGATTTTGCTCAAATGTTGTTTCCTGGGGTAGACCTTAGAATATCGAAATATCACATCGCTCTAACCCGAAACTTCCTGCCGCCGCCGCCACAGGCGCAATTAATTTGGGTATTTGCCGGCCAGTGCCCGTGTTGCGGGCAGGAGGTTTCGGTTGAGCGGATGTGATATTCGTGTTCAGGGGGTCAAACTACCCCTGGGAGCAAGTTTTCAGCGAATTTGGTGATTTCGAGTATTTTGGCGCCGGCGCCCGTGGCGCGGGCGCCAGGAGGTTTCGGGTCAAGCGGATGCGATATTCGTGTTCAGCGGGTCGAACTACCCCTGGAGCCAAGTTTTCAGCAATAGTCTGCCCACGCGGAGAAAAAGTCGGTACCAGGCAACTGGCTGATTTACTGGATGGCTGGGCAGTAAAGGGTTAATAGTGCCGACATTTTTAACTTCACGAGCAATTTTGGGGGGTACTGTACACCGCCTAACAACCTGAACTTATAATCTTGTTGCTCAAGCATAACACGGACCTGATTTCCAGTGGCATTACCCCTTCAAGCGTAGGAAGCTCAATCGTTTGGAGCTTTTCATGTGTTGACCACTTGAAAACATGCACAGAATGTCCGTATTCACCTGAAAAAATAGATTAAAAAATAAAGGGCAGATAAAAATTACTATGAACGGGACAGCTCACAAAAATTTATACTAATGACCCAAATCAAGAGTAACTGGACGAAGTATTACTCGACAAACGGGCCAAAATATTGTGGGAGAGTGCGCAAAAGGCCTCTCAGGGTGAGAGGAACCGAAGCAAGTTCGCCGCAATGAAGGGATCGTAAATATGCTCACTGAAGCAAACCCTTCTGGGAATCTATCTATCTTCCCTCGACATCAATAAGAACTCGGGAAGGTCTAAAAGGAATGAGGCCAGGCACGGTAGGGCTCTGTAGGAGACGTCGAGCACAGTACATTTGGGAAGCTTGCAACCAGTACGGGTCGTCTCAAGGGGAATGAAACTCCCCCCCCCCTCCGTGGACTTCCACCACTAGATGTCTTCTTCCTGAATCGATCACCGACCCATCACTACTGGTAAAGCAAGGCAGCCGGAAGCAAGCTCATTCCGTCCCGCCTCTGGCGCCCCGACTGATTGCGACCCTATCAAGCGTAGGCATTTCAGTACGCACTATCCACTGAATCTGCTCCCGGTATCACTTTTTTATGAGAAGTTATTCATATTGCTGGGCGATGGTAGACAAACCTTACCCGCCATAACATGCTTTGCATCAAAGCCTTGCTTGATAACATTGGGCGTGCCCCATTCAGTTGATATCATCACATCTCGACGTGGCTGATACCAGAAATCGTAGTTGAAAGGAACACTCGACTTGGGGTCAAGCCAACAACCTTTTGGCTTAAACGTCGTGCCATCGAGTAGGAAAAAATTGCCTGAAATCATAAAAGATAAAAATGAGAGGGCACTGACAAACAGAGCATCCGGCTATAATCAAGCGTAAGCCTAGCTGTGCAGCATTTTGCGTGTCTTCTTGCCTTGCCTGTGGTTGGGTCCAGAATGGATCTGGCTATCACCAATCAGCCTTATTTTGGCGCCCAGAGTGGCACACTTCTACAGCTACGAGCCTTTCCATCCCAAGAATGACAAGAAACAGGATCCTCCAATGAAACCGTCTAAGATGTCTTCAATCCATGGCGCATATCACCCATTATCATACACTTATAGTGTAGTTCGCTGCGGACGGTTGGGCGTGTCAGGCGGGATGAGTTTGGCGCGGTGCCAAACCCGTTCTCCACCAGTTGTTAAAGCGAGCAAATGATATGACTGTATCATATCGTTCGTATTACTCGTTTTCTACCACTTTGTCGCATGCGCGCTTCAACAAGAAGGCAGAGAACGGCTTTGACGGGGTGACACACTCATACTGCCTGACACGCCCAACCGTCCGCAGCGAACTAGAGTGTATACCAATGTGTGCGTCATTACACCTAGTCGGCGCTGTTTGTAGACGGGAGGGGGAGGGCATTTTGCACTATCATTGCTTCCTCAGTTCCGGTTTACATGTCTCACTCTGGGCGAACTGTGAACCGTTGTCTCTGTGAAGCATGGAACAACGGTAGTTCAAGCATTCATGTTAAAAACCTTGTCACTCGAAAGACTGTCTAGATAGGCTGACACGTCGATGGGAAGTAGCGAAAGTTCAAAATGTCCCCTCCCCCTCCTCCCCGTCGACAAACTGCGCCCACCCAGTCCACTATGAGTAAGTTGTCCGAGACAGTTTAGAGGTTCAAATCTGAGTTAGCGGATTCAGATGGCCATAGAACTTGCATTTTTCACTTCAGAGAAAGGTTGAATAGGAAGTTATTTCTGTGAAACTCTTTCAAGTTAGTCTTGCTCTTCCGATCTGATTTCCATGCTCATCTCCCAAGAGTGCTGATCATGATATTCCCGTCAGCGAGGCAATGAGAGGTATGTGGGAAAGAAACACCATAACTGTGAACGAGCTCGGGTTCGATTGTCTGCAATCGTGAACATTAATTCAAAAGGAATCAAGAGACATAAGTGCTGGTAGTATTTATGGCGCTGTTCGGCTTGGGAGGGGGATCTGTGCGCATCACAAGTGCATCAGTGTGGCTTGTCCCATCGTCTGTATCAATGCCCGAAGGGGTGTGCACAGGTGCCCCCACCTCTCCCTAAGCAAATAGCCTGCCTTTTTTTGCAAATTAATAGCAAAAAAACACCAGCTTGCGGCAATCAAGTAACGGAACCGTGACGGCTTTCTCAATTTGCTTTCGACTGACAAACACCTTTTGTCATCTTCATTCTGAAAGTTACCGTCTCCGCTGAGAGAAAGATATTCGAAATGACTGTCCGAATGATGAAGGGTACAGCATCGGGATGGGTGAGAGCGGTGTCAGCACGACTTTTCTGCCCGAACTTCCATTTCAAAACGACTCCCTTCCCCTTCTTAGCTACAATCTCGCCAGGATCTTCCAATTCCCACTAAATTCTAAGTTTGCCAGAATAACTTCCATTTATTCCCAAAAAAAACTGGCGTCGAGCGGAGGGACGGCATTATCAATCAACTAACAAGAAACCAACTTTCTGAAGTAGTAATGTACAGCGCCGGCAGCGCTAACTAAGGAGGTGGGGGGAGGGTCATAATGATCACTCGAGAAATTCTTCTGAAGGCAGATAAGAACCTCCCTGAACAATCCCAAATTAATCTAGCGATCAGATGCGACCCCAGATTGGATTCTTCCAACGATGCTGTAATCTGAGTCAATGGACGTCTAACCACACATAAACTGCCCGATTCACTCAGTCCTTACAACATCAGATGTAACTGCAGGCGTTCCAGTACTCTCCAAACGATTTAGACAAGAAGTTGGCTATTCACAGTTTGGATTTCAAGGGTCAAAAATCTCTGACCATGGGTTGAATGACCTTTTGTTAGGGTTTTGTTTACATGCAATGTTCTTTACGCAAAGGTCAGCGGTCTATGCTTAGCAATGATTTCATACGACC